CTTTTTGTCAGCCGGAAATCATAGGGTAAGCCCATTGAATGGAGAAATTACATGTTGGGCCAGGCTAGTTTGCTTCGATGGTAGGAGTCCACGCAGTGAGGCAGCCATTTCCAGCCCAGCCGAACGAATAGGATCCAATAGAGTAGCCCGCATTGCAAGCTCTTTTCTTTCCTCCGTACATATAGATTCATTCTTATCACCAAATAGGGGGCCTACCTATCCCGATAGCAGAAGTCTTTCGCGGGATAGGGGAAATGCAATTGATCCAGCAAGTAAGCCAATGAAAGAAAGGAAAGAATATATGTGCGACGCTCTGTAGATTCAATAAGTAAGAAGAAATGATAGGGCATTTTGAAAACAATTCATTCCAGCCATTTCCAGTGACCTTTTTGGGGGTTGGTTCTATACGAGGTTCGATGTAATTGACCTGTCTGTCATCCAATCCAATAGGCATTTAGGGATCCCCGATTGTAGATTGTAGTGAGCTTTTGGTAGTCCTATGCCTGTCTCTCCAGCTTGTCTATGTCTATGGGTTATAATATGTCTTTTCAAGGGCTGGCCTGGTATAATGACCTTAAATGAAAGCATAAGAGCTAATGATAAGGAGCTAAAGGCCCACATTGACGTATACCAGGATCGTCACGAGAGGATTGGGGAAGGTCTAACTATGGACCGGACCAAAGACCCTTCCACTATTTTGGGATTTTATGAGCTTATGCAGTTATTACTGGACTAAAGATTCATCAGAGGTTTGTTGGCCCGATCTCAACTGGTTACCAGACGCGTGACTGAGTTCTCGGTTTTGTCAGTTCCACTTTTTTTTGGGCATTGGTTCACGACTGCGCTTTCCAAGGTAGTTATGAAGGGCACCTGCTCCTGTCGCTATTACAGAACCGTACACTCAATTTCACCTTTCCGAAGGAACTCTTTGACTTCACTTCGCTTCTAAAGTTGGGTTGCGAATCCCACCTTTGAAGGAGTTGTTGTCTCGTCCGGGGCATGCTAATAGTTGTGTGGGGATCTCTTCCTAAGCCAAGCTTATACCCGCAAGCCAAGTGAATATCCATCCGATTCGGTCTCTATATGCATCCCTGCGCGTAGCGGCTAAAGAGTCTGACGAGTATAGAAGGCATGACTGATAATACTACTTGCGGGCTTTGTTCTGATGTTGTTGAGTCAACAGACCATGTTTTCCACATATGAAATAAAAGGTTTTTCTTGTCTCTGTCAAAACAAGCTCAACACAAATGAGCTTAGAAAGAGGAATAGGCTTTTAGCCCAAATGTAGCTGAACTCTAAAGCGAACGAGACCATAAGAACGAAGCGAAGTGTACGAACGAAAGTAGGAGGGAATGCCACTGATTGAAAAAAGAAGATCAGATCACATTGGGGAGTGAGTACGATGGTGATAATATCTTATCTTACGATATATATTATGAATATGATTCCGGTAATTCAGTTATGAATAGATAGAATCAATGAAGAGACTCTAATCATTCTCATTCTTTCCTAAGAAGAGCCTCATCAACATTCATGGCAGACAAGATTCTGCAAAAAGTGCTGTTCTGGAAGGACAAATGCCTCAAAGTGGGGCTGCTTGTTAACTGGGCAAGTAGTCCCGAGATCCGGGGCTAGGAAGGGGCTTAGCTTTCTGAATTGCGAAGCGAAATAGAGTAACCTTTCCCCCATCCCCGTCGCCCGAAAAGTATTCTCATGCCGGCCAGCGTTCAGAGCTAACTCGTGGAAGTGATTTGGTGCGCTTTTTTCTCTCTTCGAGGTGCTACAACTGAAAAACGGGGCTGGCAAGCTGGTTCCAGTCCAAAGGGACTGACCGGCACATATATCGAATAATCTTTTTATGGAGAATCATATTGGAATGTCGAATTAGGTAACGATTTATTGTGTTTTATGTGATCAGTCGGTCGAGGTCAATTACATCGAGCCTCTCTGGCTTGTTGCTCGGTGAATGTGACTCTCCCGGTTTGCAGGAATCCGTGAAGGCGGTGATCTGGAGCATGCGGCTAGGAGTGGCGATCTATACGGGGCGGGCGTGACATCTTCTATTCAGGTAGAGGTCCACCGACTCAATGTAATCGACCCAACGATGTAATTGAGAGAATAGTCCCGCTAGACAGAAGATAGCCTACCCGTGCTTACTCTTCCTTCTACTACTTGTCTGTACTTACTCCTACCTTCTAAGAACCTTTTCTTCACTTCGCTTCGCTTCTTTCCTTTTCTTTCTTTTTCGTTTGCACGGGATTCTAAAAAAGAAATTCATCAACTCAGGAAATCCCGTAATCGACGGAAAAACGGCATAATTCAAAGTACAGGCAGAAGGAAAAGAGCCTAGTCGTGCAAAGATCCAAGCAGCGTATTCTGATTCAGATAATGAATGACTGACTCTTAGTCACAGCCGGGGTGAACCCGATTTCTAGTTGAAGATGTGCTTCCTTAATAGAGTGGCAAGAAGACCACGTATCCCCCCCTTTATGCAATAAGCGCTTTGAGAGTCTGAGAAGAAGCTGTAGCTGATCCTAATAACATTGCTGTTTCGGAGAACATTGAAGGTCCCTTATGGCTGCTGCAAATATGGCTGGATGAAGTGGATTGTAATGAGCGATTCTGATTCAGATGTCAATGTTCAAGATGATAATCAATTGAAGCTCGCTCTATCTTCAACGCCGTTACCGAGGTCCATTTTCTCTCTGTAGGGACGAAAATAGCTGGTCCTTCATGGTGGCTTACCTTATTGCCCAAGTTCGTCGAGTCTATCTCTGCTGCAGAGCACGCCGAACGTGACTTAAGGTTATCGCTTTGAATGACTTGGTTTGTTTATCAATCCTGGAGCACTATTGTCCCCACCGTTGTGCTCGGCAGTTGGGGTACGACCAGGCTATACCCACCCGCTCCTTTCCTGGTAGTAGTTTCAATTCTTTGGTACGCAAGGGTCCTTCCAGGATATTCGCACTGCTTGGGATCATTACGCAAATTGTTATGATGTTAAATTGAAAATGAAGCCGAACAACTATAAGCCCACATCACTAGTAATGTACCATGACTGGTGGCAGTTCTGACTCGCGCCTCAACTGTTTCCAAGCCTGCTATTTGCCTGATGGTCCTTTATTCAAGTCTGTTGCCGTGACGAGTTGCGCCAATTCCCCCAACAAACTTTTCGAAGCGAAGTTCAGTCATAAAAAATGAAAGATGGCGGCCTTTCTGAAGTAGAAGTTCCTGTTGGCAGGCAAAGACGCCAATCCGCTGCAACAAGCATAGGCTGAAAAGCCGTAGCGCGTTAGCACGCTGCTGAAAAACCTAAAATCTCTAAGAAGGCTGAAAAGTGCTATCTATAAGTCGAACAAGCGTAGGAGCAAACTCCGGCCCGAGGAAAAGCCACTGGATTTACCGAACAAGCAACGTTTTTTGCGCTCAAGGGGCTTCTTAAGCTCCACGGAATGAAACATAAGAAGCCTCATCGGCTGAAAGAACTAACCCGGGGGAGGAATGAGATCATGACCCACGATCGAATTTCAGAGATCACGTCAGCGACGGAAGAGGCATGCACGAGGAGAAAGAGATCCACTGAAGGCGGGGGACCAGGTGCCTTCTTTATCTCGGGTACCGACTCAAGAGCAATTGAAGCATGACTTTATGTGGGAACGTCCATCTCTAAATCTTCCATCTCTAGCGTAGATAAGCCTGAAGGTCCTACTAAGCGGCAATCCTGCTTCTAAATAAAGGCGAAGAGTCCTGATCGCAATAGCAAACGGCCTACTTATAGCCCGATTCGATACGTAATTGACTTCTTGCCTGTGTGGATCACTTGATATTAGAAGCGAGGCTGGCGAAGTCGGCACAAGAAGTAGGCGGAGTAGAGGCAGCAGGGGCTTAGGGTTGAAGGAACTCTTTGACTTCACTGCGCTTCGCTTCTAAGTTGGGTCGATGTAATTGAGCTCGAAAAGGCAGAGGTTCGTAGGATTGAATCTTCTCCCCTCTTTCACAACTCGGGCCCCCGGTTGGCCCAACCATTCCTTTCGGTTTCAGCCTCTCACCCACCAGTAGCAGGTCTGCCATGAGCAACAAGCCACATGAAAGAGTTGGCCATGAGACTTCTTCTAATTCTTAGAATCCGAGGTTAATTACATCAAGCCTTTATAGAATAAGTATAAATCCAAGTTCTACTAAAAAAAAGTATGTAGGGGCGCTCCGATCAAGTACCGGACCGTGACATTTGTCAATGTCATACTCCTGATCGCCAAGGGCAAGGGTACCTCATCAGAGGTTCGATGTAATTGACCTTTGATAGTCTCTGATGGTCTAACTAAGGAGGTTTGTCTGGGTCTACACTACCCGGTTAAGCGGATTCGTGAGTTAGGGCGGAAGTCTGGTTGGTTCTTTGTTGCTTTATATTTAAAACAAGCATCAACTTGTCTGATGCAGTATTATTCCACTACGGGAAAATACAAACCTGACTCCCTGTCTGTTTCCATCTCTCTAACCCGTTCCGGTTTGTCTCGTATCATTCCTCCCTATCATCGATAGATGATTAGTAAGAGGGATGACAGGGCAGATGTCTTGGTGAGGTTATACTTGTCTGCCTTCACCGTTGCGAAGATTATTCGCTTGGCGAAGAAAGTTTAAAGGGCAACCTTTTCCTCGATATCCCACTGGGTTTACCACCAATAAAAGGGCGGTTATCCAGATCCAGCGCTCAGTTGAAATAGCTGAGTGCTCTGAGTCATTTCTGACGAGGTATATACCGAAGATTTCAACTATACCCCTCTTTCAGGGTATAACTTGGAATCCTACCTGGAAAGCCACTGCTTCGAAAATGAAGCCGATTAAGTTGGGCTCGTCGAAATCGAACTGTTCTTGTCTGTCGATCCCTTACCCAAAGATAATCCCTTGTTGCTCCTGGAGTTTTGTCCATTTTCACCAAAGGGTTCTCCACCTCGAGTCTCCCCGATTCTTGTCCATCCCCTACCTTCTAGGACTTCTGTCCCCCATATCTACCGCATCCCAATGCACCTGAGCTAGAAGAATCTTTCTTTTTTTTTTCTTCCTATGTCCGCTTTCCGCTATGCAATATTTGTGTGCTACAATCGCATTGCATGAGAGAGGGCATCGTAAGTAGCATGCGGAGGAGCTAAGATACGCCCCATCTTACTAATAATAATGAAGGGCTGAAGAAAGACACTCTTTTTTGGGTAGACCCTTCCCAGGCAGAACCAATCTCTTAGTGGCTCGCTAACCGGCCATGGCTATCCTTTAGTTAGTGCTGGACCGCTTCACCGCTTCCTCAATTACATCGATCCTGTAGCCGCCATTTACTTGACTAACCAACCTGAGCTATCGTAAGGTAACCATAGGTTGACTGCCGAAGGGTCTCGGTTCTTACCAACCAAAGACCACTCTTCGATCTCCCGGTGAGTTGGACGGGAACGAGACAGAGGGGGTTGGAGCATTTGAATTGCCCCTTTCTGTTGGAATAGTTGAAAGTCTTCTTCTTAGGGGATTTTCTTGTGTTGCAAACTGTCGTTCAAATAAGGTGCAGAAGGAGGAAAGAGTTGATATAGTCAGAGGTAGATCTCAGTCTCGCAAACCTATCAGACAAGTTTTTCGCCCCAAGTCGGTTGTTAATACTGGTAATCTGATCCTATTGAACCATATTTTCATGGGGTTTTTCTGAGCGTAATGCAGATAATTCCAACCATGATCAACAACATGATCCCATCGCTGCGGATTCCGGAAAAGCTCTTCAGGATCCGCGTGATACTGGTTTTGAGGGAGGAAAACCATCGAATCTAACTGTTAGTGATTCTACAGCCGCTTGTCAGTCCTTGCCTTTGGTGTCTGATACTATTTGCCAAAATCCTGCTGTTATGGGCGATTCAGCCGCTCTTGATGAATCCAAGGCTGAATCGCCTAGGGTTTCATCTGATTCTCAATTGATTTTACATGAATCTTCTATGGGGGATAATGATCATCCTGCTAGAGAGGAGTCTGACCATGGTAAGCAATTAGTTCCCATTGCTCAAGACGAGCTAAACGAAGATCTCGCAGTTATTGAAGCAACCAAAAACCTGGATGATTTTGAAGTTGTAGTTTCAAAATCCAACAAGAAAAGAAAAAGGCGAAACAAAAACAAAAGATGCAGGTTGTTCGATCTGAGCTTCTATGACTTCACTGCGCTTCGCTTCATTCGTTGGGTAGAAAAAATTCATACCTTTCTTAATGAAAGTGCTTTATTGGAACTTAAGGGGTCTTGCTAACCCTAATACTCAAATGGAACTTTCTGACCTTTGTAGATCTCAGCGATCTGACCTTGTTTGCATTTCTGAGCCGATGGGGATGGTGTCTCTAATACGGCTTCTGCCTACGGGCTTACGGCGGGAATAAGCGCTGCTAGTGATATTTATCTTCGTCCTTTGATCTCTCTTTTTGTCTATTTATTCCGCTTCTTTGAGATTCTGCTTCAAATATGGTCTAAGCCCTAAGTCGGGGACCGGGAAGAGCTACTTTGACTTCACTTCGCTTCGCTTCTAAAGTTGGGTCGAAACGGGTCAAAGTAAGTATAGTGTGGACCATTTCCACGATTGGATTCATTGTTTTATGCGAAGCGAAGTGAAGGAAAGGAGCTCTATATCCGATTGCTGCTAAAACCTCTTCCTTCCCAGTCTTTCGATCCCCCGGCTTGCTGTCTGAACCTGGGCTTGCTTCTATAGATTCCTACGGAATCGACTTTCATTCGGAAAAGGAATTATGGCATTGGGCGAGGGGTACTTTTTAGTCATATCCGTGGACAAGTGAGCAGAGGTAAAGCGAAGAACTCTTTGCAATCGAAGGAATTGGAAAGCAAAATAGGGAGCTTTCTGAAAGAAAGCACTAGTTCTGCCTTTCACTCTGCCAACACTTTCTCATGTTCGGCCCAATGATCATGAGGGAATGTCCCAGACTCTCCCCAATAAAATGCCCCAGTGGTAAATCCATTGATTAGAATCCGCAATACGCCCAATAAAACGGAAATTGGCTACCTATAGGATTCGTGGAGACCAGACCTCTAAGCGTGGGATTTCCTGCTGACTTTCAAGGCTAACGCGCCTCATCCCTACTTTGCTACTGCTCTAGGAATAGACCGGTATAGAATACCATGATTTGGAGCTGGATTGAAAGGGGGCTCTAGCCGTTGCGTCAAGGGAGACCTCCAAGTACCCACTGAATCTCGACGAAGCCAACGTGACTCTTGGCGTGGTAGCAAAACGAAGCTAATTGCCCATCCGCGATTACTAGCGATTCCAACTTCATGTTCCCGAGTTGCAGAGAACAATCCGAACTGAGGCAATCTTTCCGGATTCGCTCCGCCTTACAGCCTTGCTTCCCATTGTAATTGCCATTGTGAAACCCACTAAGTCCGAGAGGTTTCGTTTCTCCTGTGGGCATCCCGTATTCGAACCATACCTTTGCCGGCAGAAAGAGGTACGAAAGAAATCCCAGAGTTTGATAAAGCGTCGGCTGGGGGTTTACTTCGAGACAGTCATGGTTCGTGGCTTGGTGCTAAAGAATGCCCCTGGATAGCGGTATCGGCCGGTAAAGGAATTGTTCATAAAAAAGCCCTTCTTAGTCAAGCTTCGGCCCCATGGAGGGAGTAAAGGGAAGTGCAGATCTGGTCAAAGGAAAGGGGAAGTGAGCTCCTAAGAGGAGGTACCCGTCTGACCTTGGCTTAGTATCTCAAAGCGGATTCGTTGGGAAAGGAATTTCCCGAACTAAGTGACTTGGCTTCAGGGATTTTGCCGAATACTTCTTTGGGAGAACGAAGTGAGTCTCGGTAGGAATAGTCGCCAAATAGAGTCGATCCACTAAATCTTGAGCAGCTGCCATTTCCTTTGCAAAAGAGATTAGCCTATTTGATTGAAGCTGAAGGCCTGTTCAAAAGATCAGATAGGCGGATTTTAGCTCCATTCTCAGTTAGACGATTCTATTAGCTAGCCCTTAGGCTTGATGTAATTGACCTGTGCTCGAATCAATGCCCCTCGAATGTTGGAATGCAAATGCTATTGGGAAAATCGCCTAAAGACTAACCACAAGAAGAAAACCCATCTCGCCGGTGCCGCAAGCTTCCACAATTTCCCCCACGGAACTTCAGGCTCATCAATATCCTGATCCATTAAAGCCATATAGGCAGACACTGGGAATCTTCTTTTCATAAAAGTCAAGATGGAGGGAAAGATTCCAGTCGAACGGTTCAATGGTTCCGACTTTGGTCAAGCGCCAGCCGCAGGACCGTGGGATTCCATCCCGGGGCTTCTCAGGGGGATTACGGGCTCTTTGGGAAACAAACTCTTGTGATCTTCGTATCCTCCTCCCCCATTTGTGGCTTTCCCGGATGAATCGGCAGCTCGTCAAGGCTTTCTTCTCTTCCAAAGCAGGGATCAAGAGCCGAGCTCAGAAAATCAATCCATCCCTGGTTTCTTGGTCTCGTCCTCACTCTAATCCTGCCCTTTCACTTTGAAGTCTTATCCGGGTTGTTCCAGACGAGGTAGCCGAACCCATGTCCAACAACGACAACTGATCCGGTGAGACCGCTCTCCCGTCCAGCCATCCCAGATCTGACGGAAGAGGGCTGAGAGCAAGACCATTAATCGAAGGAGTCAGGATGAGAATGGGAGTTCATACACTTCGCTTCGTTCTTTATGGGTCGACGCTCAATTATATCGAACCTCTCCTGTAATTGCCAAGCGCTTCTGCAGTTGGTCTCGAGACTTGTCACCTGTTTCAGTTGTCATAGTAGGAGCCGAAACTATGCCGCCCCGTCAACTCGGGAAAGCTTCTGCGCGAGAGAGTCAGTCTGGGACGATGACCCATGCAGCCCCAATATCAGTATCCCGATCCCGATTTCTGCAGAAAAAGTCTTCTAGCAAGCGAAACTCCTTAGCGGTGAGCGAGTTCCGGTCTTTGTTTCTTTCTGATGGCTGCGCTCAGCCTAATGTTATCTACGTTGACATAGTCGAGGGCTCTATATGAAATCTTTCCAGTCCACCATGGCTGAAGTCAAACCAACAATGGATCGGAATACGGATGAGATCAGAAAGGCCAACTTCTATTTTAACTGAAACTGGCTGGAAGATATGTTGTAAGACTGGCTAGAAGCGCTATAGACTTACCGTCAGAAGTAATTGAACGGGATTAAGAACACTCCCTTGCGCAGATCCTTTCGAAAAGAGATTTTCCACACCTGCTTAGTCACTTCTTTGACTCCTTAGAAAGCTATCTGAAATCGCCTAGCCCCCACATCCAAGGAATCTCAAACCGAGGAGAAAGAGACTTCAACTTATACTCTCACTATGGAGACAACTAAAAAGACTAATACTCTTACATGCCCTTACTTACTCTCAACTACTGTTACGGGAGCAGGGCGGAGTGGAACTCCCAAGATAAGTGGAAATGGCTGCAAAAGCAACTCTTTTTTTTTCTCAACCGCTAGAAGGCTTGAAAACTTTCTTGCTCGAGAAGGGAAGGATGTAATGGGATGAGAGGATCGATGTAATTGAGGCAGGGCCCCCAAACGAAGTCAAAGTTATTTGTTCAACAAGATTAGGCTAAGGAACGATCTATTGGATCGTTCTACTGGGCCTCTTCTTCTAATAAGTATTGGTCAAGCAAGGTGAAGCAAAAGCTCTTTGTCATCCCTTTGGGACAAGAACAAGCTCAAGAAAAGCATCCTTTCGAGTCCCGAATAGCACTCAATTGCATCGATCCTTTATGTTGTGGAAAGCGAGAGCCTACTATCACACACAGGTTTTTTAGCAAGCAAAGCTAGTCCCTTCAGAAAGAAGTCTCGTTTAGTTTGTCGTAGGATGACGGCTTACCGGTCATAAATAAACGAGTCCCTTTCGTACTTCGAATCAAGTCTACATTCCTGTCCGTATAGAACTCGGAAGAGCATCTTATAGTAAGCTCCCAGACCAGACTTCAGTAGCCGTTGGGACGGTGGACGGTTGATGCTACTACTTTTGAAATACTAGACTAGCCGAAAAGAGCCGAGCAAGTGGGAATAAGTTCTTCCAAGGGGTTAGAGCGGCCTCCCTTCAACGAGTTAAAGTCAAAGGTTGCTTCAAAACCAAGGGAGCGGCTGTGAACTTACTTTCCAATCCCCTCTTTCATGGCAGGATCAAAACACTACTTACCAGCTAGTTGGAAAGGATACTCTCTCTGACTCCGAAAAGTATCTAATAACCTTACTACTGTTCACCGCTGAAAACTCAAGAGTCGAATTGCGTATAAGTACGCCTAGTGCATCTCCTTCGCGAGAACTTCGGACATAGATAAGTCAGGAAAACTAGCTCTACAGAGTCTCTGAAAGCAAAGTATTCGTGCCTCGCCTCCCTCTACTAGCTCACTTACTTGTGAAAATGTGAATTGGGTGCACTTGTACTTTCAGCTGTGAACTTCTTTGCTCTCATTTTTGAATTCTCTCGAACTGAAAGTAAAGAAGATTCTGAGACATCACGAAAGCGAAAAGGAAGCTTGCCGAAGTGTAGTGAGGCTAGCTAGGTGGAGTCTCCTTTCGGAACTACTTCTTTTCCTGTTCTTTCTTATTCTTAGGATATTATGGACTCAGCGCCAGTTACTGAAGCTGATATTAAGGCAGCTTTGTTTGACCTTCAAAGCGCCTGGGCTTGCAGCGCCTGCTGGGTTCTATCAGAAGCATTGGGAGGTAGCCTGGTGGAGTTTGTGCTAGAGGTGTTCCAAGGAAAGGATATTGCTGAGTGAAACTTTTCATCCCCAAGATCAATGACCCGCAGCATTTATCTCATTTCAGAATTAGTTTGTGTAACGTAATTTAGAAAGTTGTGACAAGGGCCAATAGATTGAAGATTATTCTTCTTTTTGTCACTGCTCCTAACCAGACAGGATTTCTTCCAGGAAGACAACATTGTTATTGCGCAGGAAGCACTCCATGGGATGTAAAAAAAGGTAGAAAGGGATAAATACCTTTGTCCCAACACTAGAACTTTGGTCTCCTATGGGAGGAGGATTGTAGCTGCAACAGGCAACCAACCACGAACGGCTTGGAGTTAAAAAACATCGGGAGCCAACCTTCCTCTCGATTTCCATCTCCTTATAAGTCGTTTAAACCTCTCGATCTTCCTCTGACTCTTACTTGTCTCGATTTCGAACACTTACTTCTCCGAACGTCTCTTCTTCTACTACTTAGTCCAACTCAGTCTCGCTCGCTTCTTTAGATAATGATTGGACTCCCTCTCTTCTCGTTGCTCTCGTCTCTTCCTTCCTCTCCTTCTCCTCCTCTGCCTCTGCTTCTAAGAAATATCTTAATAGCATATCTTGAGTTGGATAGGAATAGAACGACCGATCAGATGCAGAAGGGTTACGTTCTTGCGACCGACAGGCATAGAACGAGCGACTTCGTTGCTTCTTCCCTTCCTTCGTTGGATTGGAACAGACGCTTCTCGCAAGCAGCAACCATCGATAGCGAGAGGTACGAAGTGCTCGACTGTAAAGGAGAGGATAGGTGTAATTGAGGGCAACTCAAGAACAGCCTGCAGATGTTCTTACGAAGGCTCTTTCAGCGCCTCAACTGAGAAAGCTCCTATCTTTTATGGGCGTTGTGAATCAGCACCGCTTGTAAGCTTGAGAGGGGGTGTTGGAGAATCAAGCTTAAAGATTGATGAAGATGAAAGCTCCTGTACCTGTAATGCCCAAGTTGAAGACGAAGATTAGGTTTCAAGTTCTTCTAACCTCTCACATTCTAAAGTTCATCCCTCTCACAGATGTAATTGAGAGCGAGCTCAATTACACCCAACCTTCTCGCTTCTTACCCCTCGTATTAGAAGTCGAGCACTTCGTACCTCTACGCCCCGGCACCTTTACAGTCGAGATCAACAAGCCTCTCCTTATCAGTCGAGCCGCTACGCTCCCCTTCCTCATCATTTTTCCGCCCGAATCAAAACTGTCCGTCTTGCCTTGTCCAGGCCCCGCCTGCCCTTCTTTGACCCGATCAAATCAACAAAGCTAGTGGTGACATGAGGGTGTAGTTCTTGCTTGAACTTCTTGCTTTTTCCTAACAGTTTAGTGGACCCTTCCCGTTGGCTCCCTGAAGGAGATGCGGGATTTAGTCGAGTGGCTTCAATATTAGTTGGATTTATATGCACTGCTCGTTCTGGATGAAGATCAATCTTTCTAGGTTTCTTCCCCACTGAAGAGGTATTGACTGTATTCCGAGATGTCGGAATGGTACCTGTGAGTACTGACTGTTGTAGCATTGGAGTAATGAACTGAGTTCCTGGGGTGCCCTGTGCTGCTACTAAAGTGTTCATAAGGAGCATTATTTCCTTCATCTGTACTTTTGCTCTATGTCTCCGGCCACTTGCTCACTGGGTTTGTTTACTAGAGCTTCTTCTGCTGGCTTTCCTCCTGTTGAGGTCTCAACGAGCCTCTGGTAAATCCTCCTCTTCTTTGTCAATTACATCGACCCTGGGGCTTTGGTTTCGGCGCAACGCAAAGGACAGTCCATTCCAGCGTGTGTTTAGTCCTCGACTTGTTCCACGTGATTGGCCAAGATCAAGAGATAAAACGATATGAGAGCTAAGCCCCGACCTTCTCAGTTAAAGTAAAGCGATGTTGGTGTTCTCCTTGCGTCCGACCGGTAGCTGCATGACCTAAAGCCAGATCGTGTTCGACTTCCCTCTTGTTCGTCTTCCTAACCTGGTTGCTAAATGACCCCTTGTTCTGACCATTGCATGAATTCCAGAATTTGTTGCTGTCAGCCTTTCCTTTGAAGATCGGGAAGGAGATCACATCTTTGGTTTAGCTCGTTAATCGTGGAAAGGCCTGCCTAGAGGTCTACTTCCAATAGCAGTTCTCTCACTCCTTAAACACGCGAGGGAAAGGTACGAAGTGCTCGACTGATAAGGAGTCCAATACGTCACGGGAGAAGGTGTAGTAAATATGCTCGCAAGCTACTTTATGGGAGTAAGTGTACGAGGGTAGGGAAAAGGCTTCAACGATTGGATGAGAATACAGGAGCACAAGAAGGCGTATTGGTTATCACAGACCGGATGAAATAGCAGCGCTAACTCTTTAGGCTCGTTGAGACCTCTACTATGCTCCCAACAGCTGATTTAAGGGATGTCCCTTCTTGAATAAGAACCATGACATGAGATCCTTCTTATTATATGTCAATTCCTTCTGTCTTGATGCCCGCTGTTAGCAAGGGAAGGTTGACGGCTATTTACTGGTATTCCACTTTTGGCTTGCTGCTCAGTGAGACTGCCCCTGAGGCTGAGCTTAAACCTTCTTTGTTCATCACTAGTTTGATAACGGATGATAAGACATAATTCCTCCCCGGTAAGTAGAGTTCGAGCGGCACTTTTACAGAGTCAGAAAGGATCTTAGCCAAACGCGGCCAGTAGGCACTTTGGGCCTTGCTTTCCTATATAGCGTCCTCTCGCTATGGCCTTAGCTTTCGCTCCTCTCCAACTCAGTCGTACAAGTAGCCTCCCTCAATTACATCGAGCCTTGCTTAGATCTTCCCCGAGCGGATGGGCACTCGGCTTTCCTCCCCGCGCTGGCTCTTCCCCTGGCCGTCTCATTGCTACCTTTTGGTACTAGCTCTCTGGCTCTACCACTGCAATTGGCTAGGACAGTTCCCTCACGGGCGAATTCCGACACTCACTGTACTCCCCACATCTTTCGCCTACTGAGCTTGGGCTGGTAAGCTCCGGGGTCAGTCTCCTTCCCCTGTTATCCCCCTCGCTTCCTATAGTACTTTCCTTTGGCTTGGAAGGCAGCTACTTATTATGGAATGACATATATAATGATGATGGCTCGTTAAGACCTTGCCTCTGGTACATATTAAATGAAGATGTATGGCCGTCCTTAACAGATGACTTACATGTTTAGAGAAAGGTTTTTCTAACTAGTGTAGGAGGCGCCCTGCTTTCTGACGCTTTCTTGACGGCAGGCACCCTCGGTCGCCGTGACATTTGGGCTTTTCATCCTTTCCTCTGAAACAACGAGGCCAGGGAATAGTACGCTTATTCGAGTACTTTAACTGGCTTAGGCGTAGCCACCTGACGACACAAGGATGACGGACTCCTCTTTAGGAAGCTAGAGGAGTAGGCACCCGAAGATGCCCAAGAAGCTAGCCACTATCATCGTATATAAGGCAGAGGCTAAACTCTTGGGCCGCAGGAAAGGTTTGAGCTCGACCAAGGGGAGCGGGGAGATCGACCAGCTCTTGAACCTAACCCTCGGAAGGTTTGGATGAGCGTGGGCAAGTTCGGGATTCGCTATCGCTTTCGACTTGGAGCGGCTCACCCCCTTGTCACTTAAAGGGCGAAGTCGCGGAAGCGAGTCTAAAGGCCAAAGAGTGATCTTTGAACGCTACTACGCATCCTAGAATTGGGGGAAGGAAATGTCTGAATCTTCCGGCAAGTAGTAGAAGACATGAAAGTCACTAAACAGCGCTTTAAAACTGGGCATAGAAAGTTTTCGGGTACCACAGTGAGACAGTGATCCCTACGCCCGTCCCCATCCCCGGAGCCGGAGGTGACTCGCTAGCCTTTGTTAAAGACTTTCAGTGCCTTTTGTGACAGAAAGCTCTCCTCTATTGACTTCTACTGATTATCCCATTTCAACGTGAAAGTCTATGAAAGAGGAGCTATTCTTATTCTTCTTCTATATAATAGTTAGAATATTATCTCTGGGCTATTCCCTCTTCCTACCTCGGGGACCTCTTCTTGTGAGCAGAGAACTCGTCTTTCACTGCTAGGTCAGCTAGCCTATTTCGTAGTTGCAGGTGGGATAGATTAGAGCTAGATCGACTACTTTTTCTTTCTTGATACGAAAGAAAGACCCCGTTAGCCAGGAAATGAAGTAGAGCTGGTTTGATAAAACCAGGAAACGAAGATGTTGATAAAGCAAGGCGTTGTTAGGAGTTGAACTACCAGCTTGAATGGAAGGAAAGCGAAGGAAAGTGACCGAATCTCAGAGCCTGTGGGTACGATTCTTGAAAGCAAAGTGCTTTCTTTCACACTAATCCAATTCCTTGCCGAGCCTTACGGAGAGAGTTGACCCAACTTTAGAAGCGAAGTGATGTCATTTCAGGTGGATAATCAGTTTAGAGATGGGACTAGTCTTTCGTCTCCCTTGGTGTCCGGCGTCTTGTCTTGGACAATGTTCGAAAGGCTTTGGCGAGGCTACCTTTTCATTGGCGATGCACTGTCTTTTCGAATTAGCATAAGAGAAGGTAATTACCTGGCTTCATTGGGAAGGCCAAAGCTACGTGGGGTCGAGACTCACTTTGTTCTCCTTCACTTCGCTTCGTTCGTACCACCTGTGGAACGAAGGCGAGAGCGGATCTTGCAAACAATCATTCATTAGATAGAGAAGATCACCAATCCATGTTCGCCGATCTCTTCTCGGCCGATTGGCTGTTCTTTCTCTTCCGTCTTCTACGATGCCCCGGTGGCTTTCCCGGCGCACTTCCCTTTATTGTCCTATTATGAAAGTTCGTAATAGTTGTCATAGGACCAATCAGCTACGAATATTTATTGAATTTTCCTCCCGCTTGAAATGCTGAAAATCGCGCTCAATTTGGATGGATTCAGGCTTGGACAGATTCGGAACTAGTGGATAATCATTCCGAAGCGAAGTGAAGTCCTGGTGTAATTGAGCTCGATCTCTACTCTTCGACACTCATCCGGATTGTTCTTCTTGGATTGGTTGTCTAGTTGAACCAGCTCCCGGAGACGAGCATTCTTGCCATACCATTCAACGAGTCTAGTCAAGTTCTTTACAACACGCTTATAGGTGACCCATGAGAAAGCTCTGAAAGCGAACATTAGCACTTGAAACCACCTCTGACTCTGAATTGAAAATCGCTTCCCAGCTAGGACAATTGCTCTACAGTCAAAAAGCTTTCTCTCATTTACCATTTACAAGACAAGATGGCATATTGAAGGAAAGGAGATTAAGCCATCAGAATTTGGGGCCTCAAAGTATGTAAGGTTTAAGGCGAGCGGTAGATCGTCAATTCCATCAAACCTCGCGACAACGCAAAGCGGCCTTTCCCGAAGAGCTCCTTCGGAGAGGAAGGAATCGATCTACTCCAGATTGATTGACTTCAACAAGCCAGCCAGCTAACTTCCTAATAATAATGTATGTCAAAGTCATGAAAACCCGCTCAATCATCTTTTTTCTTTGGTCAGAACAAGGAAAAAGCCTATGTTTCTGCAAGAGATTTTTCGATTGGGCTTGAAGAATGCTCTACGGTCGAAGCTACTGATATCTCGTGGTCACGGAGACACCCAGTCAAGGGGGTCCCATAGCAAGGATTTAGAAGTTCAGCGCGAACCAATTCCTATGACTGAACTTCTAAAGCTCCGTGGGGGTCCCTAGATCTTATTTCTTTTCTTTATCCCATTCCATGCAGTCATAGAAAGGGGAAGGGAGTTTCTGCAGATGGAGAAAAGGATCGATAGCCATTCTTTTACTTCATTTAATTTAGAGCTAGAATTTCCAGTTCCCATTCCCCCATGACTAAGAACGCTCTTTTTTCTACTTTTTTTCTTTCTTCTCTTATTCTATTTCGAGTTAGCGTCGACCTGTCTTTTCAGCGTAGAAAGTTGCAGGAGGTGGGAAATCTCCCAGAATATGGCTAGTTTGGTCTCCGCTTTCTCCAAAATATGCGCACATGAAGAAAAAGGCTGTTTGGGAAGGGCTCTATCCTTTCTTTCGTTCCTTTCTTAACTCCAATTCCTCACCGGACGGGCAAATCAGGCTCGATGTAATTGACCTAACATAAGGGACGAAGTAGAAGAGTATGTTACTATCTATTTGATATGTCAGCAAGACAAGACTTTCACAACAAAACTGGACATGGCTTTGGCTGGTTAAACTGCCCTTGGGTACGAAGATAAGCAGATATTCACTTTCCCTTGCCGATCAAGCTATTCGCCAGGATTGTTCTTTCGGAGCTGTTTGAAAATGGCATTACAAGTAGCAGTCAATTTGGATATGAACCAGGCTCGATGTAATTGACCTCAGCGAGCCTTTATGACTGAACTTCGCTTCTAAAGATGCAATTGACCTTAGAGTCGAGCTAACTGCAATAATGGAACTTGCCGCGGAGCGGATCAGTCCCAAACCTTCTATGTGAAAGAAGAAAAGCAAGTCTCATCCCATCCCAGAAAGAAAGTAGAACCCCAAGGCTACGAAACAGGTCTAGTCCCTTTCCCTTCTTCGCATCTTTCGGTGCCACCGACCCTGAAGACAGAAACTGACCTATCCAAGGAAATACCTGAAGAGACTGACCCTCGCACCCTAGCGTTGAAGTGGATTTAGGTCCCGCGTCTGGCTTACAACGGGAGATCGTTGGTTCACTCCTCTCCCTATGGTCTTTGACTGAACTTCGTCAATTACATCGAACCTCCACCGAATTGTTCATTTCCCCCATGTCCATTGTAGAGGTCTCTCTAACCCGACACCAAATAAATGAACGAAGCCCCGTTGGAGTACATTGGCTGTTGTTGAAGGCAAGATCATTACGTTTGAACCAAATGGACCAAAATACCGTGACTATAACCACTCTCCATAGATTCGAAACCTGGTCACTGAATTTGCATTTCATGGCTTGAAGAATAAAAAAGCCAAGATCTATTGTTGATTAGGGGGGAGCTATGAAGCAAAATGCAAAGAAACTTCGAAAACATGGAGAATATGGTCCCTCTCGAACGAATGGACATTCAATAAAAAGATGATCAATAGATTCATTCGAGGAACAGCAGAAAAGACATACCGAAGGACCGATGAATCCTCGTAAACGGATAGTATGACGCACCGCAAGCCGATGATGGATGGCTCTCCAAATCGTAACCGAACGGGGAATAAATTTAGCCCAAATCCATTTCCCCAAAAAAACCTCCGGGAAAGCAGGGCGTAGGCGAGAATAAGCAATCTGTGAAGTCACCTTCCCATGTACTGACCTCGTGTGAACAATCTCATCCCTAGAGGATGAGGTAGGAGAGGGAACCAAAGGTTGCTCGACTGAAAGGTACAAACGAAGCGAAGTGAAGTCACCTAAGGGAGAGAGGTAATTGACACTCATCCGAAGAAGACTCGGGAAAGGGTGAACTAAGAATACGGGATGGACCACTTCTGGACATAGGCATTGCGCTCTCCTGGGGCTATTCTATTACACCAACTGAATCAGAGTAAGAGACTTAAAGGTTCTAGAATACACTCGACCGTAGGGAGAGGAGAGGGCCTTGGCTTAAGTTAAGGAGGTTCTTTGGAATGTTTGTTCTTGGTAGTCTTCTGGTTTATGATTGACAGTTTCATTTCGAACATATGGAAGAGCGATTCCATACTAAAGAGAATTTTCGTTAGAGTCTTTTGACCCTTTCAGTAGTCCTTTCGCAGAAGTGAGACTTCAATGTCTTTTAGGGCGGCTTCGCTTTAAAGTCTATGGGGGAGGGAGATAAAAAACTATCCTTAGGGGTTCGTAGGTGCCTTATTTGATCTAGTAAGGTTTTTATAGAGTAGCATTCCCACGCGCTACCCTGCTCAGTTGCAGCCCCAAGTCCATATAAGGCAATCAATCTACCAGCAGCAGAGGCTGCGGATACATGTCCACCTGTTTATCTACTACCATAAGCGGGAACAGTTGCAGGTCTCGAGTGTTGTGAGGGCTTTCATTTGCGCGTTAAGGGCAGTTTCTGTTATAGCACTAGGAATCGGTGCCCTTAGTCTAAGCTAAACCAGAGGGGCGAAAGATGCTCTCCTCTCCTTTCGCGTCGAGCATATGTTATAACCTTTCCTTCACTTCGCTTCGCTTCGTTCTGTTAGTCTCACTTTGCTCTCCTCTTCTTTAAGTCGATCTGGTCTAGTTCAATCCTTTCGATCATATTATCCCCTCTCTGTCGAAGTCAAACTAGAAACCTCTCCTACAGCCCATGGGGAATATCAAGATTAGGCTAGGCTACTACTAATACTGGTTTAGTTGAGTGAAACGACTGCTTTGCTTGGTCGACCCCACTTCGAACAAATGTATGGCCCCAGATTACAGAGAATGAGCTGATCAGATATTTGATTGGCTATTAGCAAATAAGATAAGAAAATGAAATTGAAAGGAAAGCGGTAAGGTAAGCTCGTTCTCTCTTTGTATTCCACTCGTAGGCTTGCTTATGGCGACTGGTAAACCACCCTTCCCCATTGAGTATATACAGGAAGTACCTGAGACTCCTCCCATGAGTAGATAAGTCTTTATCCGCCCTGATGTCCCATTCTTGGGAATCTTGGGAACACGACCTGCAAGCACCCTACCGCACCGCCCTGGACTTCGCATTGCATGAACATTAGAGCTGCTATAGCTTATATAGGAAGGATGCTTGCAGAAGAAAGAGTTACTTAGCTCGTTATGCACGTTAGGTTCGTGAGGCTCAACGAGGCTGGCGATAAGCTGGCGTAATGCTTGTGATAGGTTGAGCTAAAGCCCTTTAACGTGATTCGTCTTAGGTGGCACCCAATGGACTGCCCTAGCCATCGGGAGATCCCAAACTCCGTTGTCCTGCGAAACTTGCCTGTGTTAGCAGCCGGCTACCCTTTCCGATATTGGTTAAGCAGAAGCGCCTGATCCCACTGGATCTGAGGTACATAAAGATCTTTTTCAGCTTGCCGGAAAAATCCCGCCGAGGCAGCTCGCGATGTGTTCATAATTCACTAGACAAAGCGAGCTACGATTGTGCAAGTTTTGACCCCCGGGAAGAAGGAAATGTAGCGAAATCGGGACTTCTATGACTGAACTTCGCTTCGCTTCTAAAGTTTGGTCAACTCTCTCCTCCAGGCTCGGATACGCGTTCATAAACTCCTCTAATTCATATGTCGTACCGATATCGGGAACACATTCCAAAAGATCGCCTCTCTTTGGACTCAAGACATGTTTTGATGTCAGTCTATGGCACTTCTACACCTGGGCAGACAGAGCTTGGTAGCTCAGAGGAAGAAGCACGTACTCATGAACCAGACCCGCTTCTGTCCCTTGTTGAGGGTTGACCTCTATGCCATAGCCTATTTGGCACTGTATCCTCTTTCGGTGAATTCTCATTTTCTATCTCCCTTCCCCCTCCCGACACCAAAGAGTTGATTTCATCTCCTACTGCGGCTTGAACGCTTCTCCGTGATTCCCTCCCCTCAACTAGGCGAGGATAGGCAGAATCGGGAGTCTCGTCTATGGTGGCAAGAAATGGGGAAGCCATAAAGGTTGGGCATGAATCAGTCGTTGGGAAGGAATAAAAAGAATGAAAGGTGAAGTCATCGTTTCCGGTCGATCTCCCTCTTGAACCCGTCGGGTCGTGAGACAAAAAGCTATGTGAACGTACGCACCAGCCTTTATCCCCCAGTTCTTTTACAGCCTTTATTCCATTCCGCAAGTTGAATGTCGTCAATTGAACCTTCCCTCTCCCGAGATTGAACTTCGCTTCGAAAAGTTTGTACCTTTCAGTCGAGTGACTTTAAACCTTCCTTACCATTCCTTCTACCGTTGCTGCTCGTACTATTGCGTATACAAGGATCGAGATCACCTACTGACCATCAACTACTGCGGTTGCGTCTTCTCCGCACTCTCCGTAAGTAGGCCACAAGAAGGCGGTCCCTGTTCTAGTCCTATTCCCAATGCTAGAACGTCGTCCCAAGGGTAAGACCTATGTTCGGGAGGGTAATACCTTACTATAGCTTTCTGCTACCCGTCGGAAGGGAACATCCTTGGATACACGACTGCAATACTCTGAAGAACCATGGCTCCATACCGGATCATCGTTCCTGAAATCGTTCGTATTCGTGTATTGGCCAGGTTTTGAAAGACCATTCATTCGTTCAACAGCCAGACACCTGCCTATTCAACACTGGCTGTCTCGTTCGATAGGACTAGCTGCCTACTTCGCTCGTTAGGTTCGGAGGTAGGAATTAGTAGTTAGACCGTAGATCATTCCCCAGGATCCATGTAATTGAGAAACCTTACTACCTTTCCCTCTGCCTTGCATTCCTTCGCTTTCCGTCAACCGCTCATTCCTTCCACTGTTCACTTGGACTGGCTAGTTCGCTTACCCCTCATTCGCACTAGCTACACCGTTCGCTTAGGAGTTTTTACAAAAGGCTTGGCATTGGTGTACTTTCCTCTACTATCTCTTCGGTACCAAACCGTTAGGGAATAGATAGGTAAAGTTGGGACAAGTCTAAACCTCACACTTACGTAGGACCCTGCTTTTGGCTCGTTTGGCTTGCTTGTGAGGTTAGGAAAAAGAAAGCCGAGTGGTTCGACCGTTCGTTCGCTCATTCTTTCTTTAGACAGAGGTTTCCCTTAGGAACAGCGTGTCATCCGGACTTAGCTTTTTCATGTGTTAAGCGTTTAACAAGACTGATTTGAACATCCTGAAATCATGCTATTTTCTATGACTTTACTTCGCTTCGTTTGTCCCTTTTCGTTTAGTAAGAAGTCAGATAGGCTGCCCCTTTACCCTTCTTTGAGAACCAAGCTGAAACTTGACCCGCGAGGACACATTGCTTGCTCTTTCTCCTCAGTTCGGATTGCCAGGGAATTCCTTTATTATAGGGAATGTTTAGCCACAGCTCGAGCCTGAAGCTCGAAGAAAGCCAGAACTCAGGGGGTGCAGGAGGCTTGCACCAACAAAACTTTTAGTGTAGAATGAGGTGACGAAGTAGGAAAGATGCAATTGACTCGACCCTCTATGACTGAACTTCTAAAGATGCAATTGACCCCAGCCTAAGGGCACCGAGACCAGGACAACGCATTCCTAACACTTCTTGACTTTCATGGGGATCGGTATCAAGAGCAGGAAATTCTTCGAGTTGCAGGTGCCGCTGAGGAGAGAGAAGTGAGACTCTACAAACTTTTCGAAGCAGCAAGAAAACGGATGCGCGTTAGCGCAACGGCTTTCGCGCTAGTTGCTCAATCCGTTGCTTGTTCAGTTCAGTCAAAAGTATTGGCGAAGCGAAGTCCCGGTGTAATTGAGAAATTCCCCATCCCCAGGCCGGACATATAGAGCGCTCCGCCCTTAACCTCATGTTCCAAAGTAAAGGAAAGCTCGGGTAGAAAGAAAAAGCTAGGTGCATTTGTTCTGAAAACAGCGCACTCATCTTTCCTGGTTTGGGATATTGGAGTCAAAATGACTGCTTTGACAAAGCAGCAACCAAAGCAGAGGTGCCTCGTTCAGTATAAGCCCCGATCACATTTGCCCTGAGTAAGAACCATCTTTCTTGCCCGATTCTGAATAACTGGGTGGCCGCCAGATGGGCAGTGGGTCTTGGGGTTCTCTGCTCACTTGGGTATCTGCTCGTCAACTCGTTCAACCGGTCATTCCTTCCATGGAACAAGAATCAGTCCAAGATCTCACCCCACTCCCACTTACATCAATATCTGATTTATCCGCTCATGCAAGCATTAATAAGAGGATGTTTATTCGTAACTGAGCTACGTCAGAGTTCCTCTCCTTTCGCGTCTTTAACCCTCGTACTATGGTCTTTCTATGACTGAACTTCTAAAGATGCAATTGACCCCACGGAGCGGTTTTTGACTTCACTTCGCTTCGAAAAGTTTATGTTCAAAAAGCGCAAAGTGATTCAAAAACAATTTCATTGCGTGGAGCCTGCCTATCTTCCAACTAGCGCTATCTTTGTATGTACGTTTCGGTCCCTTCCCGTCGATCGAGCTTTGAAAGAGGCGCATACGCATCACCAGGAAAGCCCCTCCCGGCTCAAGCCACAAGTAATAGTGACTCGCCACCATGAAAGCAGCAACTTACTCTACTCGACTTGGACAACAAAACAAGCAATCGCCGCTCAGACAAGAAATATCTTCAATCAAAAAAAGATAGACTGCCATTTCTTCAGTTCGGTCTTACCGACGGCTAGAAGGACCCGCTACGATCCATAAACTCCTAGGCGTGTCAGCCCTTGGCAGGAATACAGGGACGGGAAGAATGCGAGAAATCAGTAAAGTCAAATAAGATAGATATAGTGCATTCAAAGAAAACGATCCAATGAGATAGCCTTGGTTCGTACCAAAGGAACAAGCAGAACAGGTTAATTACATCAAGCCTAAGCAAAGGAAAAGATCGACCGTAACGAAGGGGATTCCCACAGGCAATTCCCAAACAAGATTGGATCACTTCTGGCGGGACTGGACTTAAATAACAATTGATGGACGGACTTTCCTTTCAAAACTAGAAATAGCTTAAAAGAAAAGAAAGAAATCGATATGTGGCAAAGGCAAAGAAGGAATTGATAGAGGTGCGGAGAGGCTCGACTAAAAGGAGAGGTGCGGAGAGTAGTAACTCGGTACACAGCTTCCAGTAAACGAAAAGAGATCATCATAAACTTTCTATTAGCCTATTTATTTGCATGACCTCTGCAGATTGAACCCTATCTACACCCTCCGCCACTCCCCCTAGCGGTCCTGCCACCACGCCGCAGAACGGGAGCTCGTGTGGAACCTTTTCTTTCTGGCGACTAGCTTCTCAAGTGGGTGGCTTGGTAAGCAACTTCAGCATCGGTCAAATCCCTATCAATCAATAATAGGCCTGAATGGTGGGGAAGGTAGCTTGCTCTTATCTTAAATGGAAAGGGGGGAATCGCCCTTTCACAGCCGCTCCTATACAACTTTCGCCCAACATGATCACGACAGAGAATTGCGTAGTATAGGAGGATGAAACGAACCAACCCACATGTCCTGATCGGAACGATTGAAGAAAGAAAGAGAATGGTGGCTCCTTTCGCCCAGGGGACATCGTTAGAGAACAATGTCGGGGACAGGGTGAGAACCTTCCGTTGGTTACGCCCTTGTTGTCTTGGTTCTTCCATATTTCGATATGGAGATAGATCCATATAGAGAGATATATCTTTCTATCGATAGATCTATTGAGAAATAAATATTGATCTGGTTTCAAGATCTATGAACAAGAGAGATCTCTATATATATCCATTTGAAATGAAAAAAAGAGATAAAAGAGATGAATAGATAGGGCGAAGCCAGCTGAAGGAAGGGCGCGTTAGCGAACTTATTGAAAACTAAAGCAAGAAGGGCCTTCTATTATCTTAGTTTCTTAGTAAAGGCACGTTAGCGCCCCCTGCCCCTATTTTTAATCTTAAGTAAAGTGAAGTCAAATCAATAAAGTGAACAGCCCAACCTCTTTGTTTCTTTGTTTGAAGCTTTGCCAGGTCAATTACATCGAGCCTTGAAGCTTTATTTCCCCCGAAACACAACAATAGACCTGCTACTATAAGGAAAAAGCTTCTCTATGATAGCAGTCATAGGGGAGTTCAGAAAGGATTTGATCGTAGATAGAGACTTAAACCTGTGTGGGGGTAGGGGCGGATGTAGCCAAGTGGATCAAGGCAGTGGATTGTGAATCCACCACGCGCGGGTTCAATCCCCGTCGTTCGCCCATCAATCAATAAATGGACCATTTATTTCGGAGACACAGGACAAACATAGAAAGCATAGATTCGCGTCGACTACTTGCTGAAAGCAAAAATGGAATGGCCAATCATGAATTCTATGACGTTTTTAAGACCTCACTAATCAGCCTTACACTTTTTAGTTCATAATGAACCCCCGGATGAAGAGAAATTCTCCCCTCCCTTTTACTAAACCATGGGGAGCCCCGAGTAGTTTACCGGACAAATTGAGTTGTCGTGACGATACCTTTCTTAGTGGAAGATAGGAAATTATCTTCATCACGAGACTGATAGGATCTGTCGTAGACACCTCAGAGACCCCCACAAGGTAGGCTAAAAGAGTAAAAGGACAAGAAGGAAAGAGTTATGCTTGAATTTCTTTGTTGAGATTTAAATAAATTGCAAAACTAAAGGGGGTAGGTGCACGTAGGCCAAGTAAAGAAAAGGACTTCCTTACTTTTTTTTCTTTCATAGTAGTCTTAATGACTAGTAGTTTGAAGCCTTTTTAAAGCTGTTTTTTTCGGCACTCGGTTCCTTCGTCTTAAGTCAAGTTCAGTTTACTTTTTGAATTCTTACTCTACATAGGGTCCAAAACCCGACATACCCTTTTTTTCTTTTTAGAGCTACTAAAGGGAAAAGAGCTCTTGCATCGTTAGCCGCTTCTCAACATTTCCTGCCTTAGTTGTTGACCATCACCTGACCTCACACGGGAGGCCCCGCACCGAGTGATTCTCCCCCAAAAAACTCTACATGTGATATTCCGAAAACATAAAGATGTGATTTAGTAAATTAGAACCCATTTTGGGGTGCAACCAGGGAAGAACTATCAACTTGTTTTAAAAATTCTTCCATTTAGTAATGGGAGTCATCCGTTGTTACTTTCTAAGGGTATGGTTGAGGCGCTGACAATCCTTCAGTGAAGACCTATCGAGAGGCTGAATTCAAACACACCCAAGATCCACAAGAATCGTACGAACATCTATGGAGCGTAGCAAGGATTTTAGAAATCAGCCCTCTTCAAGCTGTCGAATATAGATAGGAGATCCACTTCAAGTTCAAGGCTGGCAGCAAGCGTAAGTGCAATCGCAATCCCTATGAATATCATTAATCAATATCTCTATCTCTCTGGCCCTGACGCACTCTGTTATGGCGCAATCACTGACTGAGGTTCTGGAATGATAACGGGGGTAGCATTCCGGTCTTAAGCAAAGCCGTCCTGCCCGGCCCATATGTCCTGTTTAGTCAGTTGCGGTAAGCATGAAAGAAAAAAAAACTTCTACGACTTAGCTTTAGGCAAAAGTGGACGGTCTTGATGAAGCCGATTGGGAATTAGGATTCCTGTTAGACCTTTCTCACCATTCACTCGATACAACAAAGCCGCCCAAAATATCTATATATAGGAGCTGGAAGCGGCTCTATCATATCCGATCCATGAAATAACTACTGTGCCCAAAGCCCAAACCTTTTTCAGAGGTAGTGTCAGAGCCCAATGCCTGGTTCACTCAATTTTGTTCAGGAGCTCCAGACCTATCTTCCTCGTACGATTGCCCTGACTAAGAGAGGCTGCTTCCTCTATTGTTTCGGATTCGATCCTATCTTTTGTGCCTTAAACCGAGTGTCAGTTCTGGGTAAGGATTCGTTCCTACATCTCCTCAAGGCGACAGACCATATTCAGTAGGAGGATGGGATTACTGGAACCTTCCATTCAAGTCAAGGTAAGGCAGTTTATTCTTTACCTAATAAGAACCAATGTAAAATGTAAGATTCTCCGCACAGATCAAAAGACCCTGCCGAAGCTTTCAAAGAAAGATTTTCTGCTGGAAGGAAGGTTAGAATCTTCTTTCACAATCGCTTTCAAAAGCTTGTGTCAAAGTCCTCTCGTCTACCGATCTGGGGCCCTATGTTTACCGATCTCTCTCGTTCGACTTTTTCTACCCGTCCGATCACTTTCAGAAAATCTGTCCAGCTTGAGGAATAGGATGTTGATATGCCCGGGCACTCCAATGATTGTGCAGCTTTCTTCTATTAGCGACTAAGAGAAAAAGGGCACACGGACCGTACTCGATTGATGAGCCAGCCCTCTACACTACGTTATTATTGGTATGGAAGTTTATCGGCAGGGTCGCACTGTTATCCTTCGTCAGCAGAAAAAGATGCCCTAGATCTGAAGCGTCGTGCAGACATGCTTGATTCTCGTCCTTTGGACACTCCTCGTACTAGTGGTACCGAGCTTCCGATAGCACTTCCCTATCTGATCCCAACTATTTCATTCTTCTATTTAAGTGTGAGGAAAAAGACTTTCATGCTTGCTTTATGGTCTGAATTCAACGAATCAGAAAGAATCTATTTCTGAGCTTGAAGCTTTAGGTCGGGTGTATACCCATTCATTCCCGACGCCAACCATTAGTTTTCTAATCGTATAAGGGGCCATCCTCTTTTCCTTTCTTTGTTGCCTGACTCACAGGCGTGTGAATTCGATTCTTGCTTGTCGTATTTCTTCTTATTTTTATCTGTGCAAGAAGTCAAAACTTTTCCGGCTCATGAAAAAAATCCTCGTGTAATAGTTCCTAGAGCAATCCCATGAGTTCGGAATTCCTATGTCCGGAAGTGGGCCAAGTCTTCCGGGACGACAAATGACTTGAGTCCACTGGCCTATCAATAGGAGTTTGACGGCAGGCAGATCTTGGTATTTGGAGATTTTATGACTTCACTTCGCTTCGAAAAGTTTGTATTGTCACCTTCCTTTCTTTACAAGAGACCGCTGCCCAGACGCATAGTCTCTTTTCTTTCTTCTTCGAGGAGATCGTGGTAATAGTGCCGTCTTTCCTTGTGGCCTTAATGAAAGNCCAAAAGTTCCAGCCTCGACAAAAGCATCGACTTTGGGTTCAGCTGCGCCTCTATCACTAGATATTCTCTCGAAAGGAATTCAACAGTTGATGAAGAGGGAGTGGTCAACTCAATTACATGGATCCTCCGCCTCCAAATTCAATCTCCATGAACCGTGTACCTTTTTAATAATAGTGTGAAAACCCTTATGCGTAACCACCCTTCGCACTCGTTAAATAGCCAAAATAGGATTCGTTTCAATGGGTTAAGCCTTTAGCTGTCACTGTCCAAGTACTTACTCTGAAATCATTCGCACTTTTCGTGCCGAAAAGAAACTGCAAATGCAAATGACGGGATTCAGCCAATTGTCTTGATTGTGGAATATCATTGAGAAATAGGAATACAAATTGGTGGACCGAGAAAAACAAGTTCCACCGCTAGTTGAACCGCGTCCAGTAGACTCCTACCCGAAAGCTTTTCCGTCCTTCCGTGAGTGAGAGGTCAATCTTCTCGGCGGATTTCTGTCGGGACATCAGAAGTCATGATCGAGAAAGATGACTGAATGAGGAAGCGAACTAATTCCGCGAGAACGATAGCCTTTGTCAGGGGAGCAAAGTGAGACTCAAAGAACGAAGCGAAGCGAAGTTCAGTCATAGAATAGTAGTTTTGAAACTGATCTATCTCAACGGAGTCAAAGCAGCCGTTCTCTTCTGATCGTGGACCACCCTTCAGATTCATCCCACTACTGAAGTGAGATCACCACCGGAGAGAGGGAGAATGAAAGTGAGACTGCTAAAAGGCCTTGACTAGAGCATTGAATTTCCCTACCTTCTGCAAGAGTGAGATCAGACTTTGATTCGCTTTGGAGGATGCCAACTTCAAATAATCAAGTTATTAATGACTGGACGAAGGGAAGCTTTAGCTTGTTGAAACTCCTAGTTCAACTAGCGGGGTAGAAGGACTAATGAATAGACAGAGTAGCGGGGGAACTGGATCACTTCGAGTGAAAGGCTGGCTTGAAAGAAGGACTGGCTAGCCTACCGAGCCATTTGCACTTCTCCATTCGAGAGGATGGTTGACGATTCACTATTAGATATATAGAAAAGGAAGGATACGGGCCTCACAACCTTGAAGATGGTACTCCTTTCTACGGAACGAGGCTTCTATTGAAGTTTGAAAGCTGAGAAGCGGCAGGCGATACAGCTTAGCCGCTATTTTGGAACGGTAGCGAACTCTAGTCCGTTTGTTATCAGTCTCAGTAGGGGGAACTCTACTTTATTTGAGTCATCTTAGTGGAAGGACTCGTCCTCAAGATGGGAGTTATCTGCTCTCTCTGGTTAGAAAGAGTGAAGTCCAATATATATGGAGAGCAGGGGAAGTACCCAATCAGTCCTATATATGCCATAGTAATATCTAGGTCACAAAGTCCTCCTTAGCCCAGTACAAATACGAATCAATATATCTCTCTGAGGCAGTAGATGGAGGTATATCTCGGATATAGTTTGTCGCCCTCCTTGGTGCTCACGCGCGCGTAAAGAAAGAGATGGTAGTTTCATAGCAGATAGGGCACAGCACCATTTCCCTAATAAAAAGAAATATCAATGTCAGACAGAAAGAGTCAAGTCCTCAATAAAGCGAAGTAAGAAAGAGGTCGACTAAAAACATTCCAAATAGGAGTAAGAAAGCGGCACAGTCTAGATTCTATCGGTTTAGAGCTAAGAATCTAATGCGATCTGGGTCAACCCCCTTTCTCAAGATCTTTCTCAGGATCCTTCACGCGTAAATCAAATCTGTTGGAAATGCTGGACACTGTACCAATCCCTTACTAGGAGTTTTCAAAATCCTGCATAGGAAAACAAGAGTTTGGAAGGGCTTGCTTGTGATTCATCGTGAGGAATTTTCTACATGGCTTCGTTGGAACATAATCTCAAACATCCAGATAATAGATCGAGGCTTTTACTATGCCAAGTTTCCCGACTTGACTGGTTATCTCGGTTCATCAATTCCGATCCCTTGCTTGCCATCTTCCGACCCGAGGACTGGTAAATTCCCCGCTCTTTATCGACTTCCAGTAATACTTACCACTTTCTATAAGAGATTTTTATAGAGATGAAAAACCATCCTTCTGAGATTGACTAACCTTTGATTGGAATCTTATTCAGCTACTTACTCGTATGAGGCCAATCTGGCTTTGCTTTCATTCCCCAACCGAAGGACCGGTGGAATACCCCTTTCGCGATCCCACGTGTAAAAGATGTCCAAACCAGACAGGGAATCTACTCCCTTTCCGACTCCTCTTAGTATTCTGGAACCGGATAAGACAGAACAACTGGAAGACCAATTCCCTTGCTGGCTCTTGAGTTCCTGCCTTGCCAGAATCCCAAAACTGCTAAATTCCTCGCATCTAAACCCAGGAATACGATGGTATTTAAACTCAACTACTAAATCTTGTTCCTAATTCCCAAACCAGAGAGAACTACTGGAAGAATGGCTGCCGCCTTGCCTTCTCCTTCTACTTGCCAACCCGACTCCTGCCTTATTTCCTTCCCAACCTGAGGAGGACCTCCTCACACGCTTTCTCTCTTTTGAACAGGACTCCGACTCCCTTCTCTGATGGTATTTCAACTCAACTGGTAAACCAGCTCTTATTCCTCAACGGGATGTGGAAGACCAGGCTAATACCCCATCGCAAACCTCGCTCCTTTACATTATGTTCTTATTCTCAAACTGGATAAGTCAGATCGACGAAAGCCAATATGCTGAATGCTGACTGAGCAGTAAATGCTGCCTTGCCTTCTTCCTGTTGTTTAGCTACCCCGATCTTACTTACTTTACCGATCCCCTTGGCAGCTCGGATCCAGGCTTTTCTTTTACTATGGCAAGTTTCCCGACTCCTGTTATTATTCAACCAGATCAGGAAATGGCAGATGCTTTGGCTCCTGCTTGATACTCAACTCCGCAGGTGAGCTTTACTTACGATGTAAACCGACTTCAGGACGCCTTTATTGGAACAACTGGACTGCCAAGGACTACCAAATCCCATCTCGATCCTTTCCTTTTGGCGCGACCTCACGCGAAACCCCTTCCTTCTTCTTCTACCTCGGGAAATTCCCAACCCAAGAAAGAGGGAGCTTGACTGACCAGTTTTACGAACCCAACTCGTAAACAAAGCCAGGAACTATGCCTGAGGATGGGAAAGTGTCTCCGGAGGCTTTCATGATACGGCAAGCAAGTGTAAGGAGTGATGCTCGGGTGAGCAGCACGAGTAGAGGGAGCTAAGTAAAAGGCTCGTACCTCGGGTAAACGGATTAGGGATGCTTTCCACTTGGCTATTCATAATCATAAACATATAGTTGTTAGATTGCCTTGGCTGAAGAAAGGTCTGAAAGAGATACCTTCAAGAGTTGGTATAGGTGGGTAGCTAATCAGGAATTCCTTAAGAGAAGAAGCCCTCCTCAAAATATCTTAGGAGAAGAAGTATCCGCTGCTAGGTGGCTAGGAGCGCAGACATCTGGATAAGGAGAGTTCCTGACCATGGAGATGTTGACGAGCTAGAGAGAGTTGCTAGTCGGTTGTTAGATGCGCCATGTGCCCCTGGATGGTTTAGGTATTGGCGGTAACTCCTCGCGTGTCAAGTTTTGCCGGTCGACCAACCCTTGATCCTAACCCTCGGAAGGGAGTGAAATAGCATAAGAAATAGAATTGTTGAAGAAAGCGTAGAAAAGAGCGTCCTTAGTCATGGAGTGAATCAAGAAAGCGGCGGGCCCAGGACTGAAGTCGGTAACCTTAGATCGCCTACGATCCTTTATGACTATTGAGGATAAGTCTTTGATCTGCTTTTTCTTTATCGATTGGGTTTGTGTTCCGTGTACCGAACTAAAGAGGTGGTCTTTCCAGCAGACATAAGATATGAATAAAGATCTAGAGAATAGGTATCCCTGAAAGAGACGTAGGAAGGGTTGATGCATCTCCAATATCTGTCAAATCCCGGTAGTTGCCTCCAATCGGAACATTAGCACTATTTCAAAAACCACTAAAGAAAGATCTCAGGCTATGCATGCTTCTTCCCAAAAGACATATTCAAATCTTCTTAAGATTCTTTTTCCTTTCCCCATCTTGCCATATCAGGTGCCATTGATGGAGAGAAAATCCAGCTACTGAAAGAAAGCATTAGCGCTCATCTATAAGTTATAGAGCCCCGCCTGAAATGAAACCTGTCGGCTATGGGGAAATCCCTTTCTCCGCTATCTCCAAATCCGCTTTTTACCGGTTGGGACCTTTTATCCGAACCAACCCTAACGCCCTTCCTTGCTTGCAGAGAAGCATACCTTAAAACCCTTAACTTTACAGAAGGTCTCATAAATGCTTTTTTAATGTCCCAGTTTCGGGACGACAGCTTCTTTTGAATTAGGTTCTTCTCTATGCTAATTACTGATTGAGTTGGAAAAGTTTTTTGATATGCCTTGCTACTTTGCTTCGGAGCTAACTGTGTAACTAAAGCTTTAAGCAACACAACTACTGATGTAGATGAGCATGGCTAAAATAGCTATACAGAGGGATCCTATAATAAGACTGACTCCTTCTATTCTCTTTCCCAAAGTTACATGCTTCTTTTATGCAATTAGCTTCCTGCCAAACCAACAAGTTCGATCCAACCCAGCGGACTTAGAGCCAGAAATGCGTACTTTCTGAATAAGCGTATCATGTTTAAAGAGTTCCAACCTATTCTTTCTAACTAAGAGCAGATTCGCCGCAACGAGCTTATTTAATGTTTAATGCCAAACCCTACTGACTGAATGGCTTCCCCTCCCTCTTCCGGGCTTTATTGCCAAAAGTGATTCTAGCTTGAATGGAACCCACAACAATCCGAATCAAATCCAGATGCCAATCCAATGAGTTCGATTTCCCGCAGCTGGAAGTCAAGCTAGCAGCGTAGTCGCCGACAGAGACCAGATCTTGGACTTGCAAGCTCTCTCGAGGGAATCACTTTTAGCAAGCTTTCGATAAAGTTTAGATCCAATCCAGAGAGTTCGATCTCTGTAGTCAAGTCTAAGACAGTTGATTCATTCCTTCGCTTTCATGACAGCAACGGTTGTTTAAGATCCCAGCTTTCGTTTGATCGATCGCTACGCTAAGCTCTTTGATTGATCCCATATCAGAAACCTCTTCCTCAGCTTGTTTGGTAAATACGCTAGGTTTGTAACACATCTTCATTGGACATGACTCCCACATGCTACTTGAAGTAGCACATTCTATCCTTTAGTGGACTATTTCCAATCGTTTAGGTTTCAAATTTCAAAACTGAAGTACGCACTTGATCTATCCTCGCTAATATCCATGGAAAGTAGATCCCTTTTGCCCAGCTTTCAGAGCTGAGGAGTCGTAACCCTCATTTTATGCATTCCCTTGATCGGGGAGGCCTACGTAGAGTCTTCCATCGTCTGATGCGCGCTAGGTAAGATCTGTTGTTGCGCTCTTGTCTTTTCCCTTGCTTCAAACCGAAGATCTAAATCACGATTGGGCCGAGCTAAGGCTTTGAGCATCGGTTTGTGAAAAGGTCATTCTCAGTGGTAGTTCAGGTCCCTCTTATTGGTAGTTCCGCGTCTTTAGCTCCAGAGATTGGAAATAGCTGACCTTCGTCAGATCCATTTTGGCCGTTGTTTCAGCTTCTCCCATGAAAATGGGCTTTTAACGAGAGTTTGGGACAAGCCACGTGTGATCCATCCTCGACGAGCTCAAACGCCGGCTAACTGGCTGTTTTTGAGATGCCTCGAGTGGCAAGAGATGACCAAAGGTCCAATCTTTCGTTGAAGTCCCGGGAAAGTCAAGGTTGTTGGTCTTTCCAGTGATCAGAAGACGAGGGACGAAGACGTGAGAAAGGATAGGGCCAATCCCGCCCTTCTAAATAAAGTCAAGGATCTGACGCCATTAGCTAATTCCGCTACAGCGTATGAGTATGAAGCAGCTACCGATGCCCTATGAGTATATAAATAGATGAGGTATGCCTTGTTTGTTCCCCGTTCCTTCAGCCCGTGGACTGGGCACGGTCCTTTTCACCTCCCACTTCTTTAGTACTCGAAGCCACAAACGACCTCCAATCCAGGGGTGCACACATAAGAAAGCGTGTACTTGCCGTCGCTCTACTTCTTTCCTGCCGGTAAGCTACATTCTATCTTTATTCGACGCACCGGATTGAAACCCCTTGACTAAAAACGTCATTTTATTCCCCTTTCTTGTCAGGAGTGGAACTATAGATCCTTCCCCTTTCACCGCCTCAACATCGGGATAAATAAATGACGACCTAATCCCTTATCCGATGATAAATGAATGAGCCCGCATCTCCACCAGCCAATAATTCCGCTCCTGCTGATCTAGAGCCCGAGGTATTGTTTGTATTCCACCACCACTATTTGGCTCTTTGATCCCTTGCCCTGGATTAAGAAAGACTTTCATAAGCCCTATTTATCTCCTGCATGGCTCGGACCTTTGGCAAGGAATGTTTCGTCTGATTTATCCATCGGCTCTACAATTTCTTATTTCCCTCGTCCTTTCCCGACGAGACCTTGATGACAAGACTAGGACTTACACGTTCGATAAAATCCTTTAGAGAACAAACTCGATACCTTGCCTGTACTCGATGAGTCGACCTCTTGCACTTGTACTTGACTGACGATACCTCCTTGCTTGCCCATCAGAACAACTGTTATGATGTCCGGACGTTCGACACTAAAATCCTTAGTTGGTCGAAATGGGTCCTTTCAGAGGATATTCGATACCATGGATGCTTGCTGTCCTGTGTTGTTGAAATGCTTCCGTCCTTTCTTTGTTGATACTGATATTCAATAACAACCATTTCCCTAATAAAGAGATCAATGAATAGGTACTTGTTAGTTCTTGTTCTGGCATGAAAGAACATCCTGTAAGTCTTTCTATATCACAATATCACATGTTTTTATTGACCTGATAGTGGTAGTTGCTTTGTTTCATATGTACTGAGGGTGGCGCCTCTGGGAGACATGGTCAACCCATCTTCGAGGATATGATTAAAATTCCACTTTTTGCAGCTATATGAGATGAAAAAAGTCGAATTTCCATTCTCGTCGTAGAGTGAAAAGTGAGTAATGAGATTTGACAGCTATATGAGACGAAACTTTTGCAATTTCTCAGATAGCCTTAGGAGTGCAATTGAGCGGGAGAGATTTTGCAGCTATATGAAATGAAAACAGTGGAATTGATCAGATCCAACTTTAGAAGCGCAGTGAAGTCATAGAAGTGCCAAGCTTCACATTAAACACAAGAATTGGACCACTTTGTGGGGCGAGTTTGCTATTGCTAGAAGTTCGAAAGGAGTAGTCATAGGGGCGAAAGATGCTCGACGTTGCCAGGTACTTTAGAAGCGAAGTTCAGTCAAAGAGCTCCTTCTCCGGGCTTGTGAGACTAACAGAACGAAGCGAAGTTCAATCTCTGGAGAGGGAAGGTGTAATTGACGACCATAGTACGAGGGGAGGGTAATTGAGTTGCCGGTGGTTTGAGACATAACCGCTGCTAGGGGAATAAAAGGTTTGGTCCTATCCGCTTTTAGAGTTCTCGCAGACTTAAGTAGGTCCCTGAGAGTCCTCGCATCACAGCCTGCTCTTATACAATTCCAAAGCATGATTTTCATAGGCAGACTAACTACTGGATACAAGAGTAGGGTATACTGGTTCTAAGCCTACCTTTTCTTTTCCCTCCATAGCTCATTCTCATCCTCGGATTCTTCCTATACCATTACTTTCGGTATTGAGGTTAAACTAACTCCTTCGTCCCAAACCTCTCCTCTCCTTTCGCGTCGAGCATCTTCAAACCTTGACTAAGAGTCTCACTTTGATCTCCTCCCCCTCTGGGGATTCTTTCTCGGTCATCTGATGTTGGGAATTCACCTTCAAAGGAGCAACCTATGATCCATTGTGTGTCACGAATTTAGTTTCAAAATAAAACCTGGAATTTTCAGCTTCGGATAGGATGATTGTGCCCGATCAGTCGAAGGCTTCTGCCGACCCCAAAGTCGTTGATGACACAATAGATCTTTTAGTACGAGATTGCTCGCTTCGTTCCCGAACTATTGAGTTATGTGATCAAACCATAAATGAGTAGGAAGATCTAGGCAAATGACATCGTAACTGCACTCAATGGATGAATGTCCGGGAAATTTGGCTATCTCAGAGGCATGGCCATAGCTTTTCTCTTCTTTATCGAAGGAGATCAAAGCCTTCCACGGATCACGAACTGGAGTTTCTTTCATTAGAGGAGATCCCAGAGGCTCGCTCGGAAAGGCTGCTATACCATACCTTTTGACTTCACTTCGCTTCGAAAAGTTTGTAGGGAGGCAATTCTTTCTTTCTGAGATTGTCTTTTATTTTAAAAGGTTGTCCACACGATCTGATCTATCCCCCGAAGGGGAAGCCAGAGACCTTTTTGGTTGGGTATAGAGAGAGACTTTCTTGAGTAGGTTTCCCAAGTTCTTAATATCCTTAGGCCGAACTCAGGGATGCAATAGTCGGCCGAGCAAGATCTTTCTAATCTACTTTCCTTCTCAATAAGATGTAAGGGATTTTTTATTTGTTTTCCAACCTTGGCCTTTTATCTCCTCATCTTCCTATGTCAAGATGAGCTGGGTCAGTAATCGGCGAGACGTGGCATGTGAGTAGCCCTTCACCCAGAGGATTGTCCTTTCCGACGGTGCTGTGTGCCCAGAGCTAGCGAAATGACCTATGTTACGTCCTAACTGGATGTCTCATAGCGAGATATGATCTCATTCTTCGATCGATTCAAAGGCAGTTCGTCCACACTTTGTGTTGTTACAGAGTGCAAATACGAGCTGTGCTTCTATGCTGCTTGGCGAGAAGTGAGGTTGGTTGATGGCCGCGCTCGGTCTTGCTGGAAAGTGAAGGCTAGTTAACTCTACTTCCTACCTAGAGGAATCCCCTACTAGTTAAAAAGGAGCATAATGGACGAAGTTGACTAAACTACTTACTTTCTTTTCTCATTCTCCGCTGGATCGTAGGAAAAAAAGAGATGCCGAATCGTCCGGGGCGGAGTAGGCACTTTCCAGACCAGATTCAACAAGAGAGGCCTCAGCTGACGCTAATAAAGCCGAAGAAAGACAGGCTTCAGGATCAGCGGAAATGAAAGCAAACGAAGAAGCAGATGTTGAAGGTCTTACAAGCACTCGAGTGAAACGATAAGGAAATTGGATAGCAAAGCTTAACTTATACTTAATACTGACTTAATTTCCAATTGATGGTAGCTCATCAATGAAATCTAGATTATCTATGTAAATGAAATCTATCTATGTTAAGTAAATTCACAATCTATCTACTACGTTGTAGGCAATGGCGGGAGTCTGTCTTTACAGGTGATGGTGATGGGAGGTCAATTACATCGAGCCAACTTCTTTTCTGAAATGAAAAATGATCTTTCTTGTATATATAATATTTTGAGCTCTTTGACTTCACTTCGCTTCTAAAGTTGGGGCTAGACCGAACATCAATCACTTCACGGACGCTATTGATTGAGGTGTTTAGGGATCCAGTGTCAGTCTTCGATTTTCACATCTGTCTTTGTCACAGCGCTAAGCGGCTGAGGAAAGGCCTTCCCCGGTCAAATCAAAGTACAACTTTGCAACATATGAAATAGCTACGCTTATACCTTACCTCCAACATCAATAGCGCTGCGGATCTTCCTAGGAGCAGGAAAAGTAGGAAAAGGAGGTATTTCAAATATTGGTTGGTATTCGTCTCGGGGGTAGAGAAGCTTTGTACGAATACGAATTGGCTGAAATTCCCCCCCGGCGACTTCCGACCTATGAACAATGTTAGAATTCGAGAAAGCAATTCAGCTTGTGAGGAAGCGGCCACTTCTTTATATACGTCGCCATTTGACGATCTGTCTTCTTAAAAGCATGCATTGGGACCAGCTGCTCTTTCTTGGAGATGCCTTCTATTGCCGAGAGGGAGCTAAACGAAAGACAGCAAGCATGATCTTTCGCTAGCGACAGAGAAAGTCCGATAAAGCTCTGAGAAAGCATGACTCAATCCCCCGCCTGGATTGGCTCCACTTCTGGGAAAGATTCCACTCGATCTAACTCTGGAAATGAATCTTTCACTGGATCTTGTCTCTGTACGAGCCTCTTATCCAGGTAGGCCTAGCAATTCCGTTTCCTTGGTAAACAAAGAAGAAGATGAGCTCTGACCGACCAAGAGAAGCTTCTGTTGATCCCGTAGATTACGACCTTGAACCACCGGGCTTACCCATTCCTTTAGTAGATCACGCCTCGTAGTTGTTGGTATTTAAGCCAACCATTTTTCTGCTACCTCTGGAACGTAGGCCTCTCAAAGAGAAAACTTTACTAGAATCAAGGCTCGGCCTGTGATCTACTATGAGACGTTCTTTTCATAGATCCTTCGAGAAAGGTGCTGGGCCTTACCGGGGAAAACCTCAAGGTCATCCGGAGCCACTTTAAGGCAGTTTATTGACCGTAGCAACGCAATGTTCAGTGGTGGGGCAAAGCACTAGCGAGAAGCTTCCCTTGGGATTGTTTTCCCAGGCAGTTTTCCTGCCCATAGATAGTAAGACCAATCCTTCTTTCCACGCTCCCTGAAAAGTTATTCCGGTTGGTTATTCTTTAGTAATGCATTGGTGCCTGACCCTAGCAATCGTCTTTCATAGGTATACTTTGACGCATCTCTGAACAAGCAAATCTCAATGCTTCTGCTGCTCCCGCCCGCCACCTGGTCGTTCTTATGTTCTTTGGAATCGCTTTCAAAGCGGATTTTTTCTTCCTTTTTGCTTTCCATTGAGTGTAAAGTTCCGGGTAATCGCCTGTGCGGGATTGATTTAGCTCAGAAGCTCCCTCTCTTTCACAGCCGAGGAGTGAGTACTGAGTACACATCGCTGAGCTGTTCACTATGCAGTCTTTGTCTATGGAACCTTCGACCCAACGAACAAAGCGAAGCGAAGTGAAGTCATAAAAGCTTCGTTCGTTGGGTTCGACCTAAAAACGGCAAAAAGTTAGTCTAAAGTCTATTCCTTACAGAGAGAAGCTATCCAGGTTTTGACCCCGCCAACCAATGGTCCCACTTGATGGGTACCACTAAGGCGAGGGAGCGACGAATGCGATGACTTGATTAAGGCGCGATGATAATTGCCCTCATCGATCAAGCATTCTATCGAGCCCTTACTCATCAATGAAAAGAGATACCGACCCTCTTGTGGATTGTGCGTGAGGAGCCGACCATCATCGATCAAGTAACAAGTAAATTGATCTCCTTCTACATTCGAATCCACCCCTCAATTACATCGACCCTACAGATAGTGGCGCCCGGGACTTCTTTGTCTTGGTTAACAAGCAAGAATGGGACTTAGTATGACTCTTAACCGAGTGAGAGAATGGCCCTCTTCTAAGTGACTCCTTTATTTATAATAGGATGTAATCCGCCAGAATAAATGGAATGAATGCGTCCCGCTGGTTGGGCGCTCCGGGTCCCTCGATAGGATCCACTAGGGCTGAGTTTAGGTTCTCTATATAGAGTGAAAAGCAGCTTCCTAAGCTTCTGTCTTCGCCCTTTTCTTCAGTATGGGCTTTATTATATACTGATGAACAATCTAAGTTGAAGACGCTTACACGGAGCCCCACCACCTATGCCTAGTGCTTGAGATCATGTGCCTTAGATCGTCTTCAGGGAACCCCAATAGAATCCAGGGTAGGCCGATGTGTCCTACTCAATACAAAACACTCGTTTGATTACAGACAGGTTCGATGTAATTGAGCTTCGCTTCGTTTGTACCGTCGTGCTTCTTTCGAGGAAGCCACTTCGATGCACTTCCTTGATTGGCCGAAAGGCAGGCCCAAGCTTGAGTTGTCTCTGCTTGGATTCACTACCTAAACTCTCTCAAATCTCTTTGAGCGCATAAAGCCTCAATAAGCCATTATCCAATCCAATCCTAACTGCAAAGAATGTTGCTTCCTTTACAGAAGCTGGGAAAGAGAAAGAGTCAATGGTCGATGTAGTAGAATACCGATTCCACAAAAAAATCGAATCAAAAATCGGTTAGCGTCTTTCACTTAATGAATCACGCCTTTTTCTCCGGTTAACTTCACCACGTTTTTTATAGGTGCCATTAGCCTTTTGAACGTGGATCTGGGAGTCGTCATTAATTGATTGAATCCAAACCTTGTCAACTCTCTACTTCTTCTCCAGCATGGGCTCCCCCCTTTTTTATGGGTTAGGGGGCATGCTTTCATTCTATCAAGTTTGGACCGAGCATGACATTTCTATTTGTAGCAGATGTCGATTTCAATGTCATTTTTAGAGTCTTCTTATGTGTTGCCAGCCGAAAAGCTTTTTCATTGGTAGGGTTGGTCTTGACCAGCTAAAGGAAGGAAGGAGAATGCGTCAACATTATCATCGATGATAATAATAGCCTTTCCTTACTACTTCTGACTTCACTTCGCTTCTAAAAGTTTGTAGTCCTGATCTCAGAAGTAGAGGCTCACTCTGAATCCATAGTATCCTCTGCATCTTCTGTCTTGTCTCTTGCTTTAGTTAGTTGAAGGCTTCTGTTGGCTGGGCTCCAATGTCGTTTATTCATTTTCTTTTTCACACTTAACAGAGATATGGTCGAGTCAATTGCATCTTTCCTCATCTAGGGCCAAGGCAGAGAAAGGATTGTTCTCTTTATCTACCGCTTGAGGAGCAGAGTGGCTATCAGCAGTGCTTCCGATACTATTCCTCTGTGTACTAAGAAAGATAAGGGTCTTAGATACAAACTTTTCGAAGCGAAGTGAAGTCATAGAGGGTTGATGCTCCCACTCGATAAGCTCTCTTTTTCAAGTCCTCTCAAATAGGAATTGCATAAGATTACGTCCTTTTCTTTGCCCTTGGAAAAAGGGGTTCAAAACCCCGTCTTTTTGGCTTCTTTTTTCTTACTTCTTTGAGTTAGGCTGACTCCTTCTTTCATGCTTAACACAAGAAGAACTATCCTATTTTTTGCTTTATTGGGTCCTCTAGGATTTCCTTCTTTTTTTGTTTTCTGTCTTATTTTCTTCTTTTATCTGAGCTACCATCTTTATATTATTATCTGAGCTAAGCCATATTGGCTGGGTTTAGGTATCAGTAAACCGGTACTGGCGATCAGGTATCAGGATAAAGGTCCAAGCCCCGAAGCTACGTTAGAAGCCACGAGGAGTTTAAGGAGTAGTGGGCAAATCACACGTAGCTGCGAATCCTCCGAGTAGTGGGCAAGCCGACGATCTTCGAATTGAATCCAACCTTCGACAGAACCGAGCAAATCCTCGACATGAACAGCAAGGGACGGCGAAATCTCTGCCCATCGGTCCTTTCTTTCTGGCTTTCAGTGCAGTGCAGAGGCAACCACCGCTAGCATCAGAAGTAGTGGATGAACACCGGCGCAACGTCCAACTCGTTAACATAGCCAATCCTCGACAGGTGTGTAAAGGTGTTGGAAAGAGCGTCCTACGGTGATTGTTTCCGTCCCTCAGGTTCTGGGACTGGTACCGGGCAGCTAATCGTTTCAGGCTCAGGAAAAGGTGTAGCTACGCGCGTCCGGCATTGGCAGTTGAGTTAAAGAGCTAATCCTGATATGAACGGTACAGGACTCAATTACATCGAACCTACGGTCAATCTTTCCTTGCCTCATAGGTTGCTAAGCGGATTGGTGTTCCGAGTTATCAGTAGTTGATGAGCTAGGCTGCCTCATTTCAGGTCCACAAGTCAGGGACAAGTTCAAACAGGGATGGGCTAGGCGAAAGATAAGGTTATTGGCGAAAGTCCTGTCTACGCGGGCTACGAGCTAAGGAAGGTTCTGTCTTTAGATGTTCTTGTTGTTCCTGTTGCTAATAGGGGTGTCACCACCGGTGACGGGTCCCCCGATCATGATGACCATACGTCTAGGCGAGGAGTTAGGGAGTTAGAGTTCTTCTGGGCCCAGCTAGAATTTGACTAATAGTCGTCATGGTCTGGCAAATAGTTGGGAGAGGTCTTTACAGAGCCTTTGCGAACCCGGAATGGAGATTGTTATTCCATGAAGCGAGGGTTCAACATCTACCTAGAACCCGGTCGGATCATTTTCCTTTGTTGAAACATTTATCTGGTTTACCTCCCCATCGCCTGCGCCCCTTTCGCTTCGAAGCGGCGTGGTTAACTTATCCTTTCCATTCCACATTCCAATAGGGTGGCGAATTCTTTGGAAAAGATTGGTTGGTAGAAGGATGTTTCAGTCTAGCTCCGGAAGCATTGTCTGAAGTAAGAATAAAAAGGAACACTCTGAAGTTCTTTTTCTTTGATTCCAA